TCAATTTATACCGGTTGATAAATTGACGAGAAGTTTTACGTCTGTAAAGGCAGATCCATGTTGATTGCAGAGTGAATTGAGTTTACATGGACTATGATTTGAAACGTAACTAGAGATCAAAAATCAAATTATCTGCATAAAAATGATTTTTTTCTCAAATATTAAAAAAAAAACATCACACATAACCTCAGATTATCTGTACTGATGTTCAAGTTATTTATGAAAGATATGTTTCAATGTATTTGAGAGAATAATATGATTTTTGATCCGATTTTGGTGGGTTGTAGTGACCTTTGGGTCAAATTATGTTATGATAGATGATCTATTTCAGTTTTAACGGTATGATAATTTAAAGTTGATGTTCGTAGCTGAAAAATAAGGCCAATGGAACCTGCCTAAGACGTTTGGTAGGGCACTTATGACCGCTAAAGTGATAATTAGCATCAACATGTTGCAAAAAATGAACATGTCATCACTTGAGGAGCCATAACTTTCCGATTGGACATCGTAGGTAGATTATATTGGCCTTATTTTGTAGCTTTGAATATCAGCTTTAATGTGACATACATAAGAAACTGAAATTTGGCTGTTGTCATGACTTCATTTTACCAAATGTCCACCAAACGCTCAAAAATAGGTGAAAAACTTGAAATTTCCCTGTAAATGAATGATTTTTTTTACTAAACTAGCTTAAAAATAAGTTCACGTTATCTGCAGACACACTTTCTCGAAGATTCAAGTGAAAAATAATGGAAATATATACAGTCATTTCCATGTAATAGGCCAAAATTCTCAACAAATTGACCATTTTTGGTACTTAAGAGTGATTTTGAGCCCTACCCAAAAGGTAGACAGAACATGATTTTTCTGGATTGGCGTGTTGAGCAAAGTTGTTTCTCTTTACGTTGAAATCGTCAAAGATGGTGGCCAGAAAAATGAATACGTTGCGAGTTTTAGTCGAAAAACTGGAAAAATCGACCATTTTTTCGACATTTTGCCCCAAACAACCTACAAAATCTGACTTTTTGGGCATAGTTTGTTGTAAAATGTATTTATTGGACTTTTAGCAACAACTTTGCTCAAGATAATAATACGCTATCGCCAATTACTGAATGATTTATGGACCAAAAATTTAAGATGTCAACTTTGCCAAAAATCCATTATAGGAAAAAAACATATAAGTCGATAAAACGAAAACGCCAACAGAACTTGCAAAACTCAGTTTGGGTTTTTCTTGTCTCAGGTAGTACTAACGCCCTAGTATAGTCACTCCTGTATTGTCTAAAACTTTTTTAAAATTGTTGCACTGTGTTATATTACATAATAATTTGTGTGTTCACTGTTCAAAAGATCAGGTTTTTCATGACTCTTGGAGTCGTTTTCCTGCAAAACAATTTATTCAGTCAGTTCTTTGGCGATGTCAATAAAATAAAATAAAAAATATATGATTTATTAGGTGATGATAATAATTTAGAATCTTTTTTTTTTTAAATCGAAACTAGTGTAGAATAACAATAGACCCACACGCAACAAGGAATTATTAGAACTACCAACATACACGAACAAATACTTGAAAAATCAGTATGTGAAATCAATTGCAATATGTGAACAATAATGAAAGAAAGAAATATGTGAAAGCAATTAAAGATGAGCGATTATTGTAGGAGTTTTGTCCGTCTGTTCCGGGCTGGCGGCCAAACGGGTGGTCCGATATGGACACGCAGGAAACTAAAGTCAATTTTTGCGAGCTCAATTAATTGGCAGCATATAAAATATAAATTAAGATTCGTTTATATTTTTGCAATATTTTGGAAATTTTCAATTTTTTCTTTTTCTTCTTCTTCGTATTTGAATAGTCTGGGAGGACACCAGCCATACGTTCCAGTTGTATTACATAACGACAAACCAAAGAACCTGAACAGCGCTAATGCGCCAGGAAACTCATGTAACAGTCAGAATATTTGTGGTATACAAAACGATTGGAAACAAAGAGCTCGGGTACTTTGCTCATATGACGCAACGGACAGTACTGAGCTTAATCTCAGCGCTAATGAGGTGAGACGGTTTCAAATCAGACTTTCTTTTTTTTAAACTGACATAAACATCTTTAACAACAGATCATATTTGTGACGGAATTAAATCCCCTCAATTCTGATTATATGTATGGAAAACAAGGCCTGGTAAGTGAAAATGAAAAAAATAAAATAAAATTTGAATTACGTGATTTTTATTTCAATCTTTATTTTTTAGATGAATGGCTTAGTACCAAAAGCATTCTTGGAACTTTTGGAAGAATAATTTTCTTGTGGTATGGCATCGGAGTATATTGTTTCGATGTTCTGATATCATTTTGCCTCCTAACATTCAATTAAATCTGTTCGCAAATATTTATTCTATTCCTTTAGAAATTTAATTGTAATAAATACTCTCTTTGCTTCAGGTTCACATATTCTTAAAATACGCATAGTTAAGCAGGGGGGTTACAGATTGACAGTTGAGCTGCATGATATATACTGAATGAATAGTTTTGCAGCTTGCCGTATATGATATTGTAGGGCAAACTGCGGCGCTAGTGTGCTTGTGTTTCAATCTACAAACCCCCTGTAGTTAAGATATTCATTAGATAACTACTATGTATAAAATCGTATTGTTGATTTTTAAATAACGATACAAATAAAACAGCCATGAAATGTTTAGAAAAATTCATATTATTTATGTCTGTTTGAAGTTCTACGCGTGGTTTTAATTTTGAAGCCGTCTGTATCTCCAAAATAGCAACAGACTTCTTTTAGAATCATTCGGATATCTATATGTCGAGTCTTATTTTTATGTATTCTATATTGAAGGTTCTTTAGATTGTATGACGCATTAGGAGGAGATAAATTTTGCAAAAATTTCGTGAAATAAACGCACGAAATCGTTCTGCAGATTTTCATTGCATTTCATGAACAGTCAATTGAGCAGTTTGGAGCGAAAATGTAATACAGAAAAGTTGCGTGGAAAAATGTCGATGATGAATGAACGGAAAAGGGATAGCTATATAGTGAACTATAGTGAACTATATAGCTATCTCTTTTCATTTGAAAATTTTCCGCGCAACTTTTCTGTTTAAAATTTTCGCTCCAAACTGCCCAATTTATGTTCCTCGTGATAAATTTATCCTAGGGATAAATTTATCCTAGGGATAAATTTTTTGGTCAAAATACCAAAATTTCTAGCAAAATTCTTACTCAATTTAAATTGATGTTAAACTTTATTTCTGTTCTTATTGGTGCCATAAATATGAAAAATTTCCAGTCATATTAAAATATTTGAAATTTTTTTATACCAAGGATGAATACCGGAGAGGAAACAAGAAATAAATTGTCAATTTTTGCTCAAAACACAGTCAAAATTGAAGTTCAAGCCAATATTCCCTGGTTTTTCATCACAAATTTTAATAATACGGATATTTCGAATCAATTTTTTCTCAAAAATGTTCAACATTTTGCTATCCTAGGGATAAATTTAAAACCATGTCCATACTTGGTCATGAAGTTTTTTCATTTTATTTTATTTAACACTGGCCAATCACTGGCTAAATTTGATTTTGTACAATATTATTTTATAATTTGTAGATATTAGTGGTCGGGAATAAAAATGACTAAAGTTGAACCACTTATGGATAACCGTAACACAATATTCTTGATTTTTAAAAGTGCAACATAAATTCTGTTCGGCTGTAAGTGAATCGTAAAATATCTGTGGACTATAGAAATCGTGTTTCACTTTAATTGAAGCAAAAATGTTCGATACACTTTCAAGTCCATTGGAATGATGATTCATTTTAATGTTTGTTTTGGTTGTGATTTGGCTTCGGAGTGAAAATTAAGTGATAAGGAGCGCGAATTTCGATGTGCCGATAACACCATTGGATTGGGCACATGAAATACTGTATGAGAATCAAAAAAAAAATTTAACTTTTTTTTCGATTTTTGCCTGTTTCCGATATTCTACATGGGAAGTTTGTATGAAAACCTCGGAGCACCGGTGTTTTACCCGTATTGTTATACACATCAACAAAGCAGTCAAGCTTCACCGTTTAAGCATGAATAAAAACAAAAAAAGCAATAAAATGAAAAAAAAGGGTCTTTTATTTAAAAATTCTTATTTTCAGGATTCTTTTGTCTTCTTTGTTTTCATCTTCTTTGTGTTCTCTTTCTTTTTTTGTTTACAGCACTCATGCTGCGCGTCTTTGCATATACCTAACATTGAGAGCATTGAAAAACACGAAAACAATTCGAGCTATTTTTCGCGTTTTCCACGTTTCTCGCGTTTTCGCGTTGCGTTTCTCGCGTTATTCGCGTTTTTCGCGTTTTTCACGTTTTTCGCGTTTTTCGCGTATTTCACCATGAAGTAGACGCATAAATGAATCGACTTCGAAAAAGAGAAAAGAGGCAAAAAAGCCTGTCCAACATGCCGTCGCAGATTCAAAACAACGCGAGCAATTATTATTTCATAGAATTTGAACAAATTAAGAATTAAGTTTAACTGAATTATGTAAAAACAACTGAACGATTCATGTCTTTAATTCAATTCATTCAAATAAATAAAAACAGAAAACAATAAAATAAAAAAAACGTCTTTCATTTCAAATTTCTTATTTTCAGGTCTCTTTTTGTTTTTAGGTTCTCTTTATCTTCTTCGCTTTCTTCTTTGTTTCTTATTTTCAGGTCTCTTTCTTTTTCCTCTTTGCTTGACCTTCCCTTTTGTCTTCGTCTTCTTTTATTACACAGCATGCATGCTGCGTGCATGCTGTTACTATTGTTGGAATAATAAAACGCGAAAAACGCGAAAACGCGAAAAACGCGAGGTAATTAGCGTTTTCGCGTTTTTTCGCGTTTTGGAATGCCCTTTTTTATACTACTGGTAGGATACGATGATATTGATACAAATCTACACATTCCCTTAAAAAATTACAAGCGAACCTCATGCAAAATCATATCCATACTCAGTAACACTTTCCATAGAAATATAGACAGTCACTGTCGCATTTCGTACCAACACAGCCAACTTTTTGTTTCCATGA